AAAGACCAAGCATTTGTAGCAAAGTTTGAATCTTTTTCTATTTGAAATGAAGTGGCTAACTAAGTTACTACAAAACCTAAACATGTTAAGAGGTAAGAGAGAATTGATTTAACAGAGAGAAAAAACAGAACATAAGATCATAAAGACCAAAACTTTTGTAGCAAAGTTGGAATCATTTTAAAAACCCAGATTGAGAAGTTTAGGATAATTACTGTGAATATAAGGAAAGAGATGTCTGTTAACAAATCTAGAAGCTTCAGGTCCGCCATGGCCATCGTAAACGCCGACGTAAGTAGCGGAGGAAGACGTGAAGACCTGACTCTGATCCTCAAGGCTAGAATTGGCTTGAACCACCGCGATCGAGTAATCTCCGCCGGCGTGTGGTTTCAATTCCGATTGCCAGAGTAAACCGTCGCCACTCGCTCTGCTTCCTAAACACCGTTCGAGAGGCCGTGCTAAAGCTCGCAACATCGTTAAATCTGATTCGAATCGGAATGAAATTGATTTGATTTGGTTATTGGGGAAGAGTTTTGTTCCGTTTGTTAGTTAATGAGATGGAATTTTAAGGGGTTTGTGTGTTGAGTTGGTAAAAGGAAAGGAAACCGCGTGAAGAAGAAGATGGAGAAGAAGATGACAGGTGACTTGGACTAGGCCGTTCTTTATTTAACTACGTAGACTACGCGTCGTTTTTTATGCCGTGCTTTTTTAATCCATATCCTCTTTTTTTAACGCGTATCCTTTTTCAATTTTCCTTCTCCATTTGGCAAATTTTTCTCTAGAAATAAACCAAATTGTTGGGGATAAAAAAAACAGAAACGTTACTTTCCCTTGATATATAATTTTCTTCTTGTGCAATTTATATATTAATATAAAAATATCTAGCTTGATGTCTCACCAGCTTTTTATCTAATATCAACAGCTACTTTGTTGTATTTTAGAGGAAAATATATGTAGTATTTAAATGTAGATTATATTTTCATTATCATGTAGTACAATAGATAAAATATGTTTTGCATTCTTTTCTAAACGTAGAAAATACACACCAGATTTTCTATCTAATATCAACAGCTACTTTATTGTATTTTAGAGGGAAATCTGTGTAGTATTTAAGTGTAGATTATATTTTCATTATCAAGTAGTACAATAGGTAAATTATATTTTGCATTCTTTTCTAAACTTAGAAATATCAGTATTTAGTATATTTTGTATGAAAATGCTGTAATAAGAGAATGAGTAAAGCTGTAGCCAACGTGTAACTGATATATGCTTGGTTGTTGGATAAGAAATATGGATAACTACTGAATTCAATTTTTGGTTAATCTACTCATCTTTCTATTTTATCTAATCTGCGCCTTTTCGTCACGTTATTTCCGGTTTCCAGCACAAGAAAAAATATTTGTTTTGAGTCAAAATGTGGAATGCAGTACTGATTAGTGTTAGTTAAATAGCAACTTGCGAATTTAATTCTATTTATCACAAAGACTTTTCCCCAATTTAGTTAAGAAACTGACGTAGACAGACTTGTATGCTGTGGTTATATAAATTAATCTAGGTTTATCGTCACGTTACCGTTTCTAGAATATGGTTAAACTCTCTGTTTTGTTCTATAGAATTGATTAAAATGATGATTAGTCTTAATTTAATTGCAAGTTGAATGATTTGGTTATTAAACTGATGTAGACTGACTTATATGAAGATACGAGGGGGCAACTAGGAACACGTTGGCCCAAGTTGTTGGACTTTCTTTGACCAAGACATGTTTCCCAAATATTTTGTTTTCTCCTTCTTGTGTTCATTAGGCATTGGCACATGTGTTTCCAAATTGCAGATTTGCTTATTAACATTAGTGATTAATAATTGACATATGAAGTGAACCAAAAGAAAGAAACAACTTCTAGGTGGAGAAATTTGCAAGAATCGAGTTTAGTCTATTTTTAATAGAATAGATTTTTTTTTTTAATTCAATAGTACAAGCTTTCAAGGTGGTTCAATGTTTGTAAACTGACAACAAAAATTCGCTAAAAATGGCTCAATGTTCACAAATCACACCAGATTCGAAACATTTGTTTTGGTTTTCAAAAATGAGAGTTAATAAACCAGTATGTATTATTTAAATTTTATTAAAAATAATGGATCATTTAATTCTTAATTTATTATTGTTTCATGCTCTATTTAAATTCTAGGATATGGTCGATCACTTCACGTATCCACCTAACGTTCTTGGATCAATTCTCAAGCCGTTGCCGATAGCTTAAACCCATTGAAAATAAGCAAAACATTCCAAAGGAATCAACTACATCAAAATCACAATAAGTTTGACGTTTCATCGAACATAGTCTAATAAACACACTAAAAGCATCCAAACGTAGTTAATCTCAACGACCAAGAATTCAAGATAAGTTAGGCGAATTGCGTTGTTGGTATGTGTTGACCAGGTAAGAGAAGCAATATTTATTGGTCAACGGATTTTTACATCTAAAATATATTATTATTCTATCCATTTTCCAAATATAATTTTTTAAAAATTGTTCAAAAAAAGAAAAAAATCATATTTTTATTGATTAATACCGATAAGTTATAGAATCAAACTAATTGTTGAATTTAGTAAGTTATCATTGTTAATCTTGGAGGAAAATTCATTTATAATTAAATCTAAATTTGCTATAATTAATTTCAAACACAGTAATATTTTTAGAGTTAATACCCCTGACGCATCATTGGATCGCAGAAAAGCATAGCCTTTGACTTGAATTCTCTAACGCCGGCGAAGATTCATCGGGAACTTTTCAGATCAGACTCAAAGAAGAAATGAGCTCGATGAAGAGCAGATTGAAGAGCTACAAGAGGAAGAAGCTAGGGTTAGCTTCAGTCATCGCCTTCTGTTCTCTCTGTTTCCTCATCGGCTTCTACGCGTCAGCTCTGCTCTCTCAGGTGCTGATCTACTTGTATTGTTCTCAAGATGCGATCAGATCTTAGTGACAACTAAACTAAGGGTTTATCGTGTTTTTTTTTAATTGGTGTGGCAGAATGTTCCTGGAGTTAGACCAAGGTTGAGAATGCTGGAGATGATGGAGAACGGTGAAGGAGGAGAAGAAGCTGGTTCGATGCCTCATGGTGTTAGTGGAGATGAATCTGTTGGGTCTATTCCGTTTCAGGTCTGATAATTTGTTACTATTTTTAGACTTACTTAAAGTTGGGATCTTTGGTTTAATTAAACTCTGTTTTCTGGCGGATTGACTCTTCTTGAATCTGTTTTTTTTTTGCAAATGAGCTGAATCGATTAGTTAAGGGTAAAGTTGCAATCTTTGATAAGAATTGAACTCTGTTTTCTCACACTGGTCAACTGAATAGATTACTTTAGATGTGAAGTTGCAATCTTTAATGGAATTATACTCTGTTTTCTTTCTGATTATGAGTATGAGGTCATTGGGTTTTTCTAACATTTGGTCAACTGAATCGATTAAGTGTAAACTCTGTTTTCTGGCTGATCATGGGCATGAGGTCATTGTGTTTTCTAACATTTGTCAACTGAATCAAATAGGGAGACATTTGGTGTTTCATGTTGGTTTAACAATGGTGCAGGTACTGAGTTGGAAACCGAGGGCTTTATACTTTCCAAACTTCGCAACTGCAGAACAATGCCAAGCTATTATTGAGAGAGCAAAGGTTAATCTGAAACCTTCTGCTTTGGCTCTCCGGCAAGGAGAAACTGCTGAGAGCACTCAGGACACTAGAACTAGGTTCTTGTTTCTACTCTTGCCGAAAAGAAGTCACTTTTGAATTTCTGAAGGACTAACATTCATCAGTATCCTTTCATGGTGTGTTGTTACAGCTCTGGAACTTTTGTTAGTGCTTCAGAAGAGAGTTCTGGTGCTCTCGAATTTGTTGAAAAGAAAATTGCAAAAGCTACCATGATCCCAAGGACCCATGGAGAGGTTATTTGGTTATCTACTCCTCATTTTAATCATAGATATTAGCGTTTTAGTAGCGATAAGTAATTATTGTTATTGCTTACATACCCTTTGATGAGTAGAAATAAACATTTAGTGATATTAAACGTTTAATATTCACATTTTGCTGAAAATTGGTGGATATTCTGAAGAGTAACAAGAGGTTTGATGTTTTCTTGGCAGGCATTCAATGTTTTACGGTATGAACTTGGCCAAAAGTATGATTCCCACTATGATGTTTTCAACCCTACAGAATACGGACCACAAACAAGCCAAAGGGTAACATCCTTTTATCTCTCAGTCCTATTATCTTTTGTTAGAACCTTAGGCCTTATTTGCTTTTCTTATGCAGATTGCTTCCTTCCTATTGTACTTATCTGATGTAGAAGAAGGCGGTGAAACCATGTTTCCATTCGAGGTTAGTTCATAATACCTCAGTGCATATATATACACAACTCAAACCTTGTTTGTTAGCTTGGATTCCTTCATTCGAAACGCTCTTGATTGCTAGAACGGTGCTAACATGGGCAGTGGATATGATTACAAGAAATGTATTGGGCTAAAAGTAAAACCTCGGAAAGGAGATGGTCTTCTTTTCTATTCAGTGCTTCCAAATGGAACAATTGATCAGGTAAACTAATAACATGTCTAATCAACTCCATGTTTCATTTTTTTCTTTTCTTGACTCCATTTCGTCCGGTTAGTTCATGATAATATTAGCTCTTTGCTTATGGTTGCAATGCCTTTTGCAGACTTCGCTTCACGGGAGTTGCCCTGTGATCAAAGGAGAGAAATGGGTAGCTACCAAATGGATCAGAGATCAAGTACAGGAAGACTAGATTCTTTTTTCTTGTTTTCCATTTGTATCTCAGAGCTTCTATATTTTGCCTTAATTCTTGTGCCGGATCCATCATGTACAGTTCTTCAACAAAGACTATTGGGGTTACTTAAATATAATGCGACACAGTTCGAGATCGTAATGTTATTATGTGTGCCCTGCGTTCTTAGGATCTAACTGAGCGGGTTTATAAGGTTTTCTAGTGCATCTCCGGATCCATTACATTTTATTCCAAAATGAAGTACAACTGCAATAAACACAACTTCATTATGAAAGAATTTCATCTCAGGGAAGCAAGTTTAGAATTAATTTTATATTGAAGAACTTAATCTTATAAGAACTTGTACAATACTAGACTTACGCTTGTGTTGTATAGAAGTGAATCCAATTTTTAGATTAACAAAAATGAAAGCTTGTTTCGCCATGTAGTGATTCTCGTTGTTGCTAGTGTAGGTCTACCAAATGTTCTATGGTTTCATAATGGGAGTACCATAACAGAGCAATAGTGACCTCACCAAAAAAAAAAAAAAAAAGAGAAACTCCAAATCTATATGATAATCAAATTGTAGTAGAACCAATATTTTGATAAAACAAGGAAGCTAAAATGTTGAAAACCTCAAATGCCTTGTCGAAATCATAAAAACATTTATAAGATCCTTAAAATATCAAAAGTCTCAAACGCTTAAAAACCCAAATGACTGCTTCTGCTTAACCAACACTTGATCTTCTTTAACGGTACTGCAAAAGAGGAGAAGCATAAAACCAGTGAATTAGTAATTACTTCAATGAAAGTGAAAAACACACAAGCAATCCTATAATAATACCATCAACATGTACCTTAATGAATCCAATTTCCTTAGCGTTGCTGCGGAAGCACTGTCTACAGCAGTTAAGACCATACTTCCTGATTAGCCCATGTGAGTTTCCGCACACACGGCTATACACAAAGCCAAAAAGTTCCCATCTTTTAGTTAAATACCATCAACACATACAGTAATTACAATCAAGATTGACAATTTTCTAACATTGAAGTTAAGCAATAAAGAAAAAAATGGCATCTTTTGACTAAATATTAATGTTATAACCATCTTTAAGGTTATGAAACAGAGCAACATGGATTTGCTTCCGACAAGAACAAGTTTTGTACTTCTATACAAACCGACAAAAACAGTAACATAACAGCAAAGCTTTTAAATTCTGTCCGAGGTGAGACAGTGAGCCTAGAGATACACGAATAAACAGATCAAAGGACGCCGAAAATGAGAGAGGGAGATGAACAAGGTAATTACCAGGTGCGGGAACCAGGCCCGTACTTCTTGGGATGGGAGTTCCAAATCGCGGCGAAACCCATGATCTTCGAATGCCAAGCTAGAAGACGAAGACGAACGGCGTGAATACACTCTAAATTTTGGAAAACCCTAATAGGCAGCAACGACGCACATAATCAATTTATATACTTGTAGTGGGCCCAAAATAAAACGGTAAATTAAAGTATGGGCCTAGTTATACAAGCCCAATATGAAATTTGAAAAAAGTAGAATATAACTGAATTATAACCATACGGTAAGATGGATGGCAACATGTGTAATATTGTGTTGTTATAAATTGCCTTGAGCAAAAAAGCCGGAACCAAAAAGAATGAACCGAAATACCTGAAACTGAAACCGGACCAAAATTCTTAAATATCCGAATGGTTCCTATATTTCTACATCCGAAAAATTAAACCGGAATTGGAACCGAACCGAGAACCGAATGGGTACCCGAATATACGAAAAAACAAGTTAAAGTTTTCAATATAAGATAAAATGACATCTAGCCCACTTAAACTCATGTTGAATATAAAGAGTAAGTATATTTTAACCACGAGACCACATTATGTTTTATTTCTTCTCTTATATTATAAATATATATAGTATTTCTATATTAAAATATGAAAAATATTTATAAAATTAACATTTTATTGATTTGAACTCTTGTTAGATTGACGAATATGTAAGCGTGTAAACACTAGACCTTTTAAATTAACATATTAAATAATATATATATATATATATATATATTATATATATATAATTTATATATTAAACGGATACCTGGAACTGAACCGAAATCGAACTAGAATCCAACCGGAACCGAACTGAAATCTCATAAGTACCTATTGGGTATAATAATGATTTATCTGATATACCCGGTATCCAAATGGCCAGGCCTAGTTGTAAATATTGAATGTTGTATATACATATCCATGATCGGTCTATTCATCATTGATTTTCATGATGCGTATATGATGATGAAAACATACATGTTTTTTTTGTTTCCAACTGATAAACATACATGTTCGCCACAGTTAAGCATTGTTAGAATGTATTTAGTACCGTGTCTAGTATATACATACATTTTAAATGAATTTACGTATCCTATGTACACTTCTTTTTTTCTAAGTGCATCAATTAAAATCCACATACGGCATCTAAAGATCAACCAGACTAGAGGATAACGGAAAATATCCTGAGACACTTGAAAATTTGACAATCAAACCAGATAAAGTCCATCCACCAATCTAAACAGCAAAACGAGAGAGCACGACGACCGTGGTTTATTCACCGCTTTATAAAACCTGCAATTTGCTAATACTGATTGCTAATACTTCTGAATTATTTGTGCCAAGGTTTTACGTCATCCCATACACTATAAGAAAAAGGAAAATCACAATACGAGATTATTCACTCGGACACAGAAATATTTCTTTAGTATTATTGAAGTATTAATATCCAAATGATGGTAGGGGTGGGGGACGGATTTCAGTATATAGTTGTTAATTGCTACTCTATACGATTACAATCTTTTAAATTTGTAAAATAACTATCAAAATAAGAAGTTAAGAAAACGACAGAGAAATATATAATCACCAAGGAACAGTCACATATATCTGCTTTGGTGTCTATGTGATTAGAAAATAAAATATAGTGTTACCTCTACACATATATGAAATTTTTATAAATACCAGGAAATGAAAATGACTTTTCGTCTTTTCCCGTTAGCCATTTTGTAATCGTTTTTTCGGTTGAATATATCATTCTATTCAGTAAAATAGACCTAATTTTCTCCTTAGCTGTTTACAAGTTTAAACAATAATTATATTAAAAATACCTCGAACCAAAGTCAAATATAATTAAATAGGAGATGAAAAGCCAATGTCAATTGTAATTTAATAATTTACGAAAATACTATATCACAATATAAATTAGTTGGTTAAGAATATCCAATGTAACCGTATTATTTTTAATAGATACAGATTTTTATGTATTTAATTAATTCCAAACTTAATCTCATAATTAATAAAAGAATAATCTGTCAAGTTCCAATAACTTATTGTTAAAAGATACTTCATTTAGAGATTTTTGGATATGAAAGGAAAATAGTAAACTAGTGCTAAATAACCGAACTAAATGTATCTGCAATGTCACAATCTGTAATATTGATTCTATTCAAACCTGACTTCTTGGAATTATGTAAAAATTAAGAAAAACTTGTTACTGCTCTTTGAAATAATGTCTTTCCTAAGCCTTTAAAAAAATATTTTTTTCCTAATTTACACTTTTTAATAAACGAAAAGAATGTATTTTTGTATTAGCCTGCCCCTTCTGAATATATATATATATATATATATATATATATATTAATTTTTAAATATTACAAAATAAATTACTCAAAGATTTGATTTTTTTTTGTCAAAAATAAGGACCAGAACTAAACAGTGGTTTTAGAGTTGACTAAACTCATAGGATCTGTGATATAATAAGTAGAAAATTGATATATACTCGTATTTAGGTAGTATATTTTTCAATAAAATTTGAACTTTAATGATCATCGAAAAAAGAATAGGCATTTACATAAAGAATAGAGAACCTAAAAGTTATGAAAGAAAAAAATAATATGCAGAAACTTCAAGCCATATTCGCATTAATCTTGGCGCATACTTTTGGTGTCTAGGGTTATCCTATATAAATTGCATTTCATTTAGTAAAAAAGCTTGGTAAAATCATTATGAAGTACTCTTTTACCAAAGAAAATACACATTATGAAATGTCTATATATCACTTGCTTAGCGTAACCATTAGCAAGTTGATCATAGTAATCAAAAATATTTATGACCTCATAGCACTTATCAAAAACAAAATATGTTCTTCTTTTTTTCCTTTAATAACATTTCACTTACATAGAAGAAATGTTTTTCCATGGTTGTTGTGGGAAATTTGGAAGGTTAGGAATGCTTTTGTTTTTGAAAGTAAGGATATTGAATCTTTTTTTGTTTCTAAAAGAGCTTATGAAGAGGAATTCACGTGGTTTGATACATTTACAACAACGACGGTGTGCGGATAGAAAGTATGAAAAGTAATTGCTGGAAAAAGCCATCCAATGGTTTCATCAAATGTATTGTTGGATCCTCATGGGTTAAGTCCAACCATCTCAGTGGTGCTTCATGGATTTTACGTGATGGAAATGGATGTACCATCATGCATAACCGGCGATGTTATTCCTATATGCGCTCAAAAACAGAAGCTGACTTGTGGGCTCTTTTCTGAGCAGTTGAATGTTTACAGAACCTACATTTCTCAAATATTATTTCTGAGATTTCCTCGGAGAGCCTACATGACGTCTTTACAAACTCTGATTAGTACCTTAGCTACAGCCATATCCGTCACAACATCTCTTTTCTTCTTACAAGAATAGATTCATGGAGTTTGGATCACGCCCTTCCTGAACGTAATGAAGTTGCAACGGCAATTGCTTTAAGCGTCACTCGTGATCTGCATCATCAGTCTTACATTGCCCGAAGCTATCCACCGTGGCTACATCACTTACTCATTATGGAGGCCCAACAAGAAGTGGAGTAAGTGAGGTCTCATTCATTTTTCTTGATGTCTATTGACATCTCTTCATATCTTTTTTTACTAGTTTCTTTGTAAACCTCATCATTTTGGATAAAACAGTGTTATAAAAAAAAAACATTTCAAATGTAATACATAGCAACACAACCGTTAACTACTACCATTTGGAAGGATGTCACACACTTATTTTGACTTAAGAAGTTTTGGATCTAAATCGTTATATATATATCTAATTAATGTGATCTGGTTTCAAATACTACTCTGAGGACACACACTTTCTGACATGATGACAACTCAATAACACATTCATCAAAGATGGAGTTCAAGAAGAAGAAGAAAAAACCCAGACCTCTTTGTTTTAGCATGTAAAAAATGATGATATCATGATCAAGATCATTATTTTTTGCTTGCTACATAACTAGTAACGGGAATGCACAACGAAGCTACACAACTGTTACTTGTTTGTTTGCAAGATAATACAACTCAGAGATATCTAAGAAATATACATACTTTTAATATTTATGAGTATTCCATTTTTAAGAGGGTGCAAATAATGAATTTTTTACTATTGTTTTTCTTGAAACTAGGTGTTTGGAAATACACTCTTACGTAACTCCTTAGTTTATTATATTCAAATAAATAAAGTGTTACGTTGGTTAAATTTTGTTACATTTGAATCAAGTAACAGAACTGGTGGTGGATCTGATTGACCTAAAGCTTTTGAGAAAGGTTATATTCATCTTTCGATGGTACACTACAAGAAAACACGTCCTTTACTAGGACGGGTTTTCCTCGTTATTTCCTAGTAAAGGGCCCTTTACTAGGAAATAGCGAGGAAACGTGTTTCGTCGAAAGACGTTCATCGTAAAGGCTATTTTCCTCGTAAAGGCCTAGCTAATTTACGAGGAAAGATTTCCTCGTAAAGCCGTGGAAACAATTTCCTCGTAAG